AGACAAGGCATTCATTCCCTTCCTACCTTCGTTCACCCTCATCATGAAATGTATACAAGCTATCTTTTCAGTCCGATTCATCATGATGAGGGTGCGTTGTATCCTACCTTTCGTCCGCCCTCATCATGAAATGTATACAAGCTATCTTTTCGGTCCGATTCCTCATGATGAGGGTGCGTGGAGTGCCCATCGGCGCCCTACCTTCTTCAACGATAAACGTGGCCTGTGCCATTCAAACGCATCTCTCCTGTTTTTTTTTTTTTTTTGAAGGAAAAAAAGAAGGGAGAGAATAAGACAAACGCAGCTCCTGGGATCTGCCACGTGGCGGCCGTTGATCGCGCAACGTAGCCGCCGAGCGAGCACGCCGTCTGGCGTCCGCTGAACGACATTCGAAATGGATCTGGAGCTGTTAATGGTCCCCGATACATTAAAAATGGTGTCACTGTCAGTCGAAATGCTCGCGGCGACAGTTGATGGCGCCACGTAGTCGCCGATAGAACACGCCATGTGGCGTCCAATGAACAACATTCGAAATGTATCTGGAGCTGGTAATGGTCCCAATACATTCAAAATGTTGTGTCAGTCCAAATGCACGAGGCGACAGTTACGGCGCCAAGTGGCATCCAATTAACAACATTCGAAATGTATCTGGAGCTGGTAGTGGTGCCCATACATTCAAAAAATGTTGTGTCAGTCCAAATGTACGTGGCGGCAGCTGACGGCGCCACGTAGTCGCCGAGAGAACACGCCAGGTGGCGTTTTTTTTCTTTTTGGCTAATAATGATCATCGTAAGTGCCTCGCTATATAGCACAGCGTTTGGAAATGTATGTGGAGCTGATAATGGTCTCAATGCGTTTAAAATGTTGTCAGTCGCAATGCATCTTGGCCACCATGCAGTCCAGGTACATGCGGAATGTCCAGCAGTGGAGTAAGTGCCTCCTAAGTATTCCGCTTGCTGCTCTGGTTCCTGTGCGCTTCTGGCGATTTATCTATTTATTAATTTTATTTATTTTTAAATCGGGGCGCCCCTTCTGAAAAATAAAATACAATTCTTCCTCTGACGATTTGATAACGGCGGGAAATTCTGGAGAGGCCACGTCATCGGACGAAATGTCTGTGACTGGTGAGCCACGTGGCAGTCTTTTATTCTCCCCCCCCCCCCCCTCTTTTTGTGGTTTATTCAAATTATTGTTATTACCGCATGACTTCATCTGTTTCGGAGTGAGCAAGATTTCGTTGTTGTTTTTTTTTTAAAGGGAGAAAAAGAAGTGGAAAAAAGATGAAAAAGAAGTGGAAAAAAGAAGAAAAAGAAGTGGAAAAAAGAAGAAAAAGAAGTGGAAAAAAGGAGAAAAAGAAGCAGGAGAAAAGGAGAAGAGGAAGTGGGAAAAAAGGAGAAAAAGAAGTGGAAAGAAGGAGAAAAAGAAGCGGGAAAAAAGGAGAAGAGGAAGTGGGAAAAGAGGAGAAGAGGAAGTGGGAAAAAAGGAGAAGGAAAAAAAAAAGAAAAAAAAAAAGAAAAAAAAGAAAAGAAAAGAAAAAAAAAAGGAGAAGAGGAAGTGGTAAAAAGGATAAAAAGAAGTGGAAAAAAGGAGAAAAGGAAGTGGGAAAAAAGGAGAAAAAGAAGTGGAAAAAAGTAGAAAAAAGTAGTAGTAGAAAAAGAGAAAGAAGTAGTCGTAGAAAAGGGAGCAAAAGGAAAGAAAAAAAAAACAGAAGGACAGGAAAAAAGAAGAAAAGAAGAAAAAGGAAAAGAAAATGGGATTCAAATTAAAAGAAGAAAGATGGAACATAGGGGGAAAAATAAAGGAGTAAAATAAGGGGGAGAAACCGGAGAAGCAGCAGGAAACACCAAAGAGGAAATTGGCATATGGTCAACCTTACTCTAACCGGACATTGTAGTAAGGGGGAGCATGCCAATTTCCTCTTTCTTTCCTTCTTTAGAAAGAACAAAGGAAATGCACCTGACCGCAATTACGTCCACAGAGAAGTGGAAAAGTCCAACTGTGAGTATGCCCTTAGAAGGGGGCGGGTCTACCCGATTTTTAAAGAGACACCGAGGGGTGTCTGTGTGTGTGTGTGTGTGTGTGTGTGTCTATGAGTGTGTGT